AGAGAGAGAGAGAGAGAGAGTCCGGGGAGCTTTCTTCGTTGACTATTGAGTACTTACTGACGTAATGTCACTTTCCTTTGCGGCAAGATGCTGACAGCAGGTGAAACGTAATGTGCCTTCCATCGGCCGAGGTCATTCGTGAAAATGTCGCGTATTACATGGTCAGTCAGAGATCCTCTCTTGCAGACAGGATTTCCCTCGGCGAGCCTGACCTGGACGAGCTCCGCTCTGTAAGCAAATCCATTTGTTCACGCTCGGACGCACTCACGAATTCGATTCGGGGCCGCGATCCCGCTCGTATCTCATAGCGTCTTTCGTCGGTGGACGCGAATATTCCAAATACACACATGTATGTATAAGTAGATAAATTTTGTCGTGTAAATGGCGAAGATTTGCGCGGTATAGAGACTATTTTCATCGCCTTATGTCGATTCTTTAGTACCACGGGGAAACAGGAGACGTAGATTTTTTCGTGAAAGAAAACTCGCCTTGACTTCGCCCGAGTCGAAATTTTGGCTTTATATTATTCGGTTGTTTTAGAAAAAAATATTTAACTTACAAGTTCCCGGTGTGAAAACAGAAGTTGTCTCAATTGATTATTGCAGAAAAATATACTTATGATTTAAAGAAGATAAAGAAAGGATAGAAAATTACACGGGGGAATATCGTTATTATAAGGTAGAGATAGTATAGAGATCACTTCGTGAAAGAATATGAAACAGCAAAGAACTGGTTTAAAGATTTTGGACAAAATGAAGAGGAAAGATTAAATAGGATCTGGGATGAAGAGTTGGATAGAAAAAAAGTATGGGCAATTAGAAAATGTTATGGATAGAAAAAGAAAAAGCAAAGAAATTAAGGGAGGAAAAATAGAGAAATGATAAAGAGGGGGAAAGTACAATGGGTGAAGAGATACAATAAACAAAGAGAGAAACAGAGATATAATTAAGTAGAGTTAGAAGAGTTAGATAGAGGCGAATGATGGCATGGATATATGCATGAGAAGGATGTGTGAGTTAAGGTATAATATTGCAAACTAAATCCCTACTTCTTGGCTGTAAGCTAAAGAATAAATTGATGAATAAATTTATTTTATATATATACGATTTATAAATTTCTGCAACTGATTTACGTTGTTCCTCTCTCTCTCTCTCTCTCTCTCTCTCTCTCTCTCTCTCTCTCTCTCTCTCT